CATAGCAACCCTTGCCGTATGAGGGCGGGCATTGTCCTGTTGGAATGTTAACCCAGGGCCATGACGTTGCAGAAAAGGAATTGCCACAGGTCGAAGAATCTGATCCCTGTAGCCCACACCAGTTAAGTTGCCCTGAACAATCACCAAAGGAGTTCTTTGGCGTGCTGTTATTCCACCCCAAATCATCACGGAACCAACACCAAAGCGATTCGTCTCCAAGTCACGGGCCTGTGCATAACGTTCTCCCACGCGTCTATAGGCACGTTGACGTCCATCACTATGGGAAATGTTAAACCTGGACTCATCTGTAAAAACAACATTTCTCCACCAAAACAAGGTCTGCGGACATGATTTCGGCACCACATTCGGCGAGCTTGTCGATGACGTTGTGTCAGGATAGGCCGTATGGCGGGACGTCGTGGTCTGATCCCGTGATGACGTAAACGTTGTCGAACTGTGTTGGGGGTGGATACGGCGAAGTCCTGGGATGGTTCGGGCACTCATTACTGCAGTCTGAAACCTGTGGCGAAGATGGATCACCTTATCCATGTGTCCTGTCTTGGCGTTGTTACACGTGGACGTCCAGAACGTTGCCGATCGATGACGTCATTTGTGTTCTGGTAGCGTCTCACCAGTGCAGAAATGGTGTTCCGGTGGCAGTGGAAATGTGCAGCCACTTGTCGTTGAGACATTCCCCCACGGACCATCCCAATGGCCTCATGACGTTGTGCAGACGTGAGCCTTTGCATGCTATGCGTTTCAATAGCCGTTTAATTTTTTGAACAATCGCAAGGGACAGGGGTTGAGCTTTCCAAAGTGACAGTATTGTGTGACATTCATTTGCTGTTTCTCATTCCCGGAATGCACGTGCAACAACGTATTGCACGTCTCAAGGACGAATCCACTAACGTCACGGAACTTGGCACGTGCATGTTGGATACATGTCACTAATGTCTGAGTTTAAATCCTTATGTGTCTACACAGGTTTGATAAATTTAGATTTTAAATTTTTGTATGCACAGTTTCTTAATGTGCCTAGTATAGTATTGAGGGCTTGCCTAACTTTCATTTTTTATACACTGAAAGAGAGACACCTTTCAATTCTATGATATGAAGAATAACATGTTCACTGTACATGGTGACTATATTGGGATGCTTTGTTATCAAAGAATATTGTAGTCAGTATGATTCATAGAGATAATACCATTTTTTTAAAATTGTTCTGATAGCGTGTTTGTTAGCACTCTTGGCAAGAATTAGAATTTTTTTATAGCAAAAATCATGTGTAATCCCGGGCTTTTTGAATAACGGTAGCTACGCCCCTGTAAGCAAATTTTCATGAACAGACACAAACCAAAAACAAAACATTGTTGAATACCATCTCCTAGATGCATTTGGAAGGTATTAGTTGTTAAGTTTTCCATATTGAATTAGTCTGCAATTATTAATTTATATTTCAAAGTTACTTTCCTCCGTAACATAAAAAGAAAAGAGATGTGCTGTTCCGTGGAGAATGGTGTATACGATAACAATGATGATAACCTTGTCATCGGATCAATGTAGACATCACGATTATGAACATCAATGTTTCAACACTTCGCCATAATGTTTAAGACAAGTAGTGATGGCGTTCCCGGAAGAGTTAGCCCCCTTTGTCAGTCCCCGAAACGACACAGTGACACTTCAACAATAGACATGTCTGTAGCTGCGACATTCTGTACTAACAAACTGGATTGCAAGGTTGACTGTAAATGCTAATCAATACCTAGTCCCATGATACGACATTAATGTCTTAGGATTCGCCCTGATTACGTTTCGAAGCTTATTTGTCAGCACCTTGTCCCTTTTCGTCACTTCTGGCTTTCACAGGCATCCTCCCCATATGCTGAATTTAACTGACAAAATAGTTAAAGCGGCGCTACACTGGAACCACTCACTCACACTCCCATCCACTGACTCACTCAATCACTCACTAACTCGTTAATTTTTGTGCCTCAAAATATGAAGTGCAAACTATTCCCTGATACAGATCATAAAACATACACGTTGTATTGTTATGATTCTTCATTAGCCTACATGACTCCAGTCTCAAAGGTATGTGCTATTCATATAGATGTACTGGAAGAATCTACCTACATGTGCGCAGGAGATCTCAGACAGGTAAAATCATTTATGGCAGGCCACGAAAGAGAAAACGTATGTGCACAGGAGATATCAGACAGGTAAAACCATTTAACGGAAAGCCATTAACGCGACACTTGTACCTTATGTGCACAGGACATCTCAGACAGGTAAAACCCTATAATGGCAAGCCATAACAGAGAAACCTTATGTGCACAGGAGATCTTAGACAGGAAAAATCCTATAAAATCTTTAATTTCATCCGACACTTACAAGCAAGTATGCAAAACGAAGGCACGTAACTTTTCATTGTATCCTCAAAACGTTTCATGTTCATCCATGTTGTTGATGTTCCGTTAATTGGTGCGTAACTGCTGACATAATTGACTCGTGTGTATATATTACAGAGAAGAGGAAGACATATTTTATTAAACTGTCACTTACTGTATTGAATAAAAGTACAACATGTTCAAAACAGCTCTTATTTTATACTGATTTGCACAGCAGGTTCCATATCTGATATATATATTGGTGATGAGGTTACCATCATGCATGTGGTGTAAGGAATAATACAGAATAACTATTTCTGGGATGTTGGTCTTAAGAGATTTTGAGAAGGTTTCTGTTTCGTTTGCGTGGTGTTTAGTGGCAATACTTAATCTTTCCTTGGATTTCATGAGGACATCAGAAATAATTCAATATTCTGTATTATGATGTTAAATTTTGTTTGGTTATCTATAGCACTTCGTCTCCTCGGTTGAAGACAAGGTGATCCTCTGATCCTTACCTTTTTATATTGTTTCTTTGAATTCAGACTGCATTCCAGGAATGTGAATATAGAAGGGCTGACATATTGAATGCATCAGGCTTACAAATAGGCCCGAGTAAGAGAGATATTGCTTGGAGGAATATTTTAGTTAGGTATTTACCCAATTTAAAAATAAAATAAAATAAGGTGGAATCCAGAATATTAAAAGGAACTAATAGTTATTTATTCTACAGATTTAAGCGTTAATGGCTCAGCAGTATTTTAAAAATAAACCTTTTGAAATTCAATTTATAAGAAACAGGAGAATAAAAAAAATCACTATTCCTTTTGGTCGAATTACCATTGTTATAAAATGGTATGCTCATTTCAAAATTGAATTATTTGTTGTTCAAATCCCTCGCCCTCCGGGATCCACTTGCACAAAGCGATCTTATCAATAAGAGGATCAGACTCCCATACTATAACATAGACTTAGGACGGTCGTAACGCTTAGGTCGCTTTGTGCAAGGGCGTCCTGGGTCATTTCCTGAAATAATGAATATGATGCCTTCAACTGCTTTGAAATGGAAAGCCACATAAGATCAAAAGAGCTCTTGTTTTCAAACTGTGAAGGAGGGGGACATCTTATGACTGATTTTTAAAAAACAGTCTGGTGACTACGTACAAAACTGAAATGGTTTAGTTCTCCACAGGATTATTTAAGCTAAGTCTTATATATTTTATAATCGGCTATCGGAATTTGAAACAATATACTTATTTTTGGAGTTTAAACGAGTTCAAGGTTATTGACAAGCACCGTAAGCCTAAATAATGTTGTGTCTACATATCCACAATTTGAACTTTGAACCTCCAGCTTATTGTACTTGGTTTGAACGCCAATATGCATGTATATACTGACGTGTTTGACCTGTAGAAGGTTCTGACTCCATTCTTTCGTATTATATGTAAATTTGACGACTATCTTAAATTGCAATAAGTTTTAACATTTTAGTCACAGCAGGTATATCATTGAAAGAAATATGAGTTACAACAAATGCCAACCAACAAGCATAACAAGTCGATGTTGTATTACTAACTAGCTAATGTAGATGTATCTACTAATTAAGTATGTACATTGTTCTTGCTTAATTTATGTTTTTATATTGCTTTTTTAGTGTGTGTGTGTGTGTGTGTGTGTACACACGCTATGAACGCACGCACGCACGCACACGCACACACACACACACACACACACACACACACACACACACACGGTATCCTTCCTGTAATATCAGTCATACTTTATCAGTATTTTCTGAAATTGTTTGTAAATCCTTTCTTACATGGGACAGGCACTACCTTGGTGTACATATACATATGTATATAATATAACATCTAGATCAATATATATTGACACGGCGGTTACTACATATAAAATGTTAATAAACTCGTGTAGCACTGTGTACGCAATGTCGGCAGTAACCATGCACAGGTGTGTCGTTGATAATTGTGTATATCATTGGAGAATACATAGGATACGATTCACCTACGATATATACCCGTTGAATGAGATGTATATTGCCACATCACATTTCATGAATACCTAAATTATTTTCACATTTGAAATTCATATAAATGTATAGTTTGTTTGTTTATATATATAAACATACACAATAATCTGTTGCTACATCTAATGTAAAATTAATCAAAAGATCATTCTGAAAATACTCCTGAGAACATAAATTTAGTTTCCGCTATTTTGTCCTACATCTTCACAATTACAACCATATCGCCACTTTAAAGCACTGAAATATGAAAAAACCAACGTCCTCTCGAATGTTTTAATATTTTGTGTTCGTTTGTACACGTATGTTAAAACCTAAAATTGTTCTCTTAACTCATGATGGGTCAAATCCGTGATCATTTGTGTTTAAATTGCTGAATTATTCAAAACGTGTCATCCCTTGCTATAAAACAAAAACACGGACATGTCACAGCGTATGGTGAAATCATCAGCACGAGTCCTGCGGAGTCGTGACGTGCTCGATTCAACAGACGGTTCAAGAGTACGGTTTGACTTAGGTTAGCTGTCGTTAGGAGAACACTACTTGTCAATGTCAAGTGCGTCATCCATTGCGATGGCCTCCAACTCGGATACTGTGTCTGATAGTCACACGAATAGTTTATCAAATAGATCTGAAAGTCAGCCTGACAATGACTTTACTCACAATGAACTCAAAGGCTGGCTTTTGAAGAGGGGTCGGTTGTCCCGCAAATGGAAAAAACAGTGGTTCCAGCTTAAAAACTGTGACCTATATTATGGCAACACATCCGAGGTAAAGTTCGTTTTTGATTCGTTCTTGACTGTAATATGTTTCGCAATATTTACAGGAGACTTTAGGTGGTATGTCGACAGGAATCGGTGAGTCATGAGTGGTGAGACCAAGTTGTTGTTACGGAAGTTTGTAGAGGGTGAACGTTTTTGACAGTTTGACAGCAGAACGTAGCCAACCGTGAAGCTCTGTCAACGTTGTCATGGTTGTCCATGAATCGCTGCTGGTTGGTTCTCGCGTCTACCCTGTGATCGGGCCTATCATATATTTTCAATTGATCGTAATGGTCGTTACATGCCTAGATAAACTGTTACTTTGACTGGTTTGTAGTATTTAAAATCAATCATTGAAGATTGTAATAAAATTAATTGTCTGTTTTTCTTTATACATATATTGTATTTGATATCATAAGTGTTTGTTTTTCAACAGATGTGTTACTGTCAGACAACGCATCTCTTTAGAAAAACACAAGTTATGAAATGTAAACACATTAGAAAATGTTGAAATGATGTCTGTATATAGGATAGCTTGTATCAGGTTCACTGTATAAGTCAAACCTACAAACTTTACACTGTTATTTTGTCCCATGTAGATCTGAGTCAGAATTAGTCTTCAGCAACCAAAGCTTGTTGTAAGAATCAATTAACGAGAAAGGTGATCAGACTCGCTGACTACGTTAGTGCATGTCATCATATCTCCTTTGCGTAGATTGATGCTCATGATGTCAGTCATTGGATTGTCTGGTCCAGATTTGATTATAAACAGACTGCCAACATAAAGATGGAAAATTGCTGAATGCTGAGTTAAACAATAAACAAACATATGATGTTAGTTCTATGCAGTATTTGTTACTTTGTTTACATGTTATATTTTGTGTGCCCTGTTTAATCATGTGTAACACACCTCAGCAATTCAACAGTTTGTAAGTCTCAAGTCATTACTGTTGTTCCAGCAGGTGACTTTTCAGATCAAACCACCGAGACGTCATAATATGGTTGAAATATTACCGATGTGACGCTAAATATTAACTCACTCACTCAATCACCATTGACTTAGTTGGGGTGGAGGGACCTACAATATTTACTTTTAAGGGTCCTTACAGGTGATGCAAGGGACCTCTAAAATAATGAAATGGTGCTGTGTACTGAATGTTTTGATAAGTACTTCAGAGTATGGAATAAATCAGCAATCATGTGTAGAAAGGTCATGACTGATTGTTGACATGACAGATGCTTATTACAGCTGCTCTTGATCTGCTATAGGTGCATTGGCTTTTTTTGTGCATCAATATGGGAGTCTATTTTGTCTGCGTCCACTCCCTTTATTTGCGAATACTGGACGCACATATGTGCACCACAGAATACTTTGACACCACAATTCAAGTAGCCAGATATATATATATACAATTTGTATTTTGAAAGAATAAAAGGATACAGACCTTGGTTCATTTTGTAGGATGACTGACAGATTGATATCAAAGGTGTTGTAAGGAAGTTTGTCATAATTGATAATGACAATCAGACAGATGAATGTTATAGTGAAAATTGATAATCTCTATAAAATGTCTTTGAAAATTTGTTATTGATGAAACAAATGAAAACACCAGACAAAAAGATTAAGAAATTGTTAGTTACCATTATCATTACTCTCCTAAGTTGATATAAAAGATTATAGATACTTTAAAAGTGCCAGAATTGCAGGACAAGAAAATATATTCTTTGGAAGGGGCCTGCCAAGTAAAGGTTATACTTTCTTGAAACTATTTTTCTAGTGATAAAAAATGTACATGTCTGGCTTCAGGAGCAAACTAAAGATAACAGACTTTGGCTATAGAATATGAATTTTCTGATAAAAACATTACTAGACATGATAATTCACCATCTCAGTTCTAAGTCTTATTACAGTAGGCATTTTGTTATGTGCAGGGATTAAGATTACCAGATATATATCCTTCTATGTTGGGTTTGTCACATGTTGATGGTGCGAGATGAGCAGTTCTATACATATGTACATATTTCATTAATTTTACACAGAAGAATATTTCTAAGGAATAGTTGTTTAAGCTTAACCTAGTTCGTACAGCATGTTGTATTATATTGTAACATTAAAAGGGTCCATTGGTCTTGCATGAAGTAAACATATGCCACAGATTTCAAGAAAATATGACTGAAATACATGACATTCACTTTCTTTATTCACTAATGTTGATGCACACCAGTTTGCTCTATTCCAATAAGCTATATTTATTTTGTTGTCTTGAGATAGAAACCATTTGTTTCATCTATCCCAACAATTCATAGTTTGTCTGGTCTTGAAAAATCATTAATTTCATCTATCCCAACAAGCTATAGTTTGTCTAGTCCTGAGAAACCATTAGTTTCATCTATCCCAACATCTATCCAACAACCCATAGTTTGTCTGGTCCTGAGAAACCATTAGTTTCATCTATCCCAACAGGCCATAGTTTGTCTGGTCCTGAGAAACCATTAGTTTCATCTATCCCAACAATCCATAGTTTGTCTGGTCCTGAGAAACCATTAGTTTCATCTATCCCAACAGGCCATAGTTTGTCTGGTCCTGAGAAACCATTAGTTTCATCTATCCCAACAGGCCATAGTTTGTCTGGTCCTGAGAAACCATTAGTTTCATCTATCCCAACAGGCCATAGTTTGTCTGGTCCTGAGAAACCATTAGTTTCATCTATCCCAACAGGCCATAGTTTGTCTGGTCCTGAGAAACCATTAGTTTTATCTATCCCAACAGGCCATAGTTTGTCTGGTCCTGAGAAACCATTAGTTTTATCTATCCCAACAGGCCATAGTTTGTCTGGGTCCTGAGGAACCAATGGTTTGCATTATCCCTCCAACCCATGTTTTTTTTCTTTCCTGGGGATCCTCTGGTTTGATCTACCCTAACAATGCTTGGTTTGTCTGGCCCTGAAGATCCACAAGTTTGATCCATCCCAACAGAAACATTCAAGATTACACTGTAAAAGCCACTTGTCTTAAGAAATGTCACAGTACAACTTCAAACACCACTTACTGACCCACAATCATATTATATCATGTTAAATATTATGTGCTTTGCTTTTTTTCAGGAGTCCAGTTTGAAAAAGAAAATTCCTTTAACCAATGCTGACTTATCAGAAGCAAATGTGGATAAAAAACAATATGCTTTTCGCATTAAGAGCAAGGAAAATGGACGTACATATTACATGCAAGCAGAAAATGAAAGTGAACAAAACGATTGGATGCAGGCGATATGCTTTGCGAAAGCTGCCGGTAGCCATGGATCGAACTCACAAGCATGTGTAATACAGTGACAGTCCTGTACAGCTGATAAATGTTGAAACACTGGGATCAAGTTGGATGGGGACAATTCTTATGAAAATGGCATAAAATGTTGCAAAAAAACATTTCAAAATGTCATTTATGGTTGTCACCCAAGTATTCACTGCCCATGGAGTAGGTGGACACTGTCAAGAGTTGAAGTGAAGAAGGAGGTGGTGCTTGTGGGATGAAGTAAGACTATGGTATATTCACCACAAGGCCTAGATTCTCAATGGAAATAAAAGAGGCTAAATGTTATTCCTCCTTCATGTCATATCTGTTGTCCTGAGACTCATGGATGTGTGGTTCATTTTGAAAAAAACACAAATTGGTCATCACTCCCTTTTTGTTAAAATTAATCTGATTCCATAATACTTTCAAGTTAGTGTTTCAAGAAAATACATTTGTAAAACAGAATTATTCATGTGCAAGTTGTTTTTCAGTTCTACATAAAACAGGAATATCGCCTAAATGAATCACCATATTTGTATATCATTGATTTCAATATTTATGATTTGGAATTTGATTAACAAAATGTCTGTTTGTCATGTTTGTTAAGATAATGATGTTTTGCATCCAATTGTTCATGATAAAAAACAGACACAAATTTAAGTCTATATTTCACTACAGATCACAAAAGGACACACCTATTACAGATGACATTCTTATATTTGTTGTCTATATTCATTTGATTTGATTATATCAATGAGAGAGAGAATTAGAACTTGATAAAGACTATCAATATGATTTTGTCAGTTGCAGCTAATGCAGATTTGTTACATTGTTGTTTAGATAATCAATATTTTGCAGTGGCTGCGGAAGAGTGTAGGGATTTTGTGCAATTAGATGATTAAGTATGGATTATGTTGTTTGACATTCAGTAACATGCTGGATGTCCTGTTACCTGCTTGTTGTGATTTTGTGATGACCTTATCTATACTGTTTACCTTTGCTGTAGTCTCTCTCCTGGTAAATATTTAGATATGTCAGATGATATTATGTGTCAGTCTCTCCAGTAGTCTCTGCTAACAACTGTCAACACCACTGAAATTATATTTGAAAAGGAGACAGGACTGGGCATGTCAACTCTGTTTTGGTGCATAGTGCATGTGAGAAAAACTATGATTTTTACAAAGATTATGATTTTCAACTGTAATGGTACCTTTCTTCTTTGTCAGTCATTGCTGTCCCAAGTATAGAATGACACGAAACGTGTAGGATTTGATTAACATCAAACTGGTTTCTAATTATACAGATGTAGATAAGGCCAGATCAATATCTTTTAGATTTTATTCTCACTGCTCAAGTAGATTTAGAAGTACTCAGTATTTTTGTATTACAAATATGCTGTATTTGAAGGTGAGGATGTCAATGATGAATTGTCAATGAACCAAGGAATGCCCTACATGGGTTTTTTTCTTAAACTTCATCCATAGTTTCAACTAGTACACACAGTTGGAAACTAAATACACACACTGTTGGAAACTAAATACACACACTGTTGGAAACTAAATACACACACTGTTGGAAACTAAATACACACACTGTTGGAAACTAAATACACACACTGTTGGAAACTAAGAGTGGCAGTGGTGTTCTTGAGTTTAGTTTTGAGTCTAGAAACCCTGTACCTCTAACTTAAAACATTAAGGATATGACAAAAAGGTCCCTTTTTCTATCTGGCTTCATTTCAAATACAGCATAGAATGTGGTTTGGTGTATAATCAGATAATGAAGATTTATCCCTGATTTAGTCTACCCGTGATGAGCTTGGCTTGGGAAATACAACTGAACTTTGTCTTTCCTGTGAATCTGTGTGTTCTACTCAGAAACTGTTTAAATGATCTTCATGGAACCTATCACATGTTAACCAGATGGTCTAGCAGAGGTTATGGGCATCAACAATCTTCGTATTTCATGAGATCATTTTACATAGGTTTGTCATACAGACTCTGAAACAAATATATCCAAGGAAACCCATGCAAGTCTACAATATGTGGCAAGGCTAGATTACCAGTTTCAGTTTTCTGAAAATGAAGAAAGCCATGCTCTCCTTTTCATTATATTTTATGATTTTAATTTATGAACCGTTTTTTTTCTGTGAAATATGTTCATTTTATAGACTGGATAGTAGTCTAATTTTACATTGGCAGACTCATTTCTACTGAAATTAGGGTTGTGCTGAAATTGTTGAGTAAGTGATTCTTAGCTTCATTTATTTTACAACTTGTAAGGTTGAGCCCAACTTCAAAAGCTTTAGAAGACATCTTTGTCAAATAACACACAACAACTTAGTGACCTCATGGTGTCTTTGATGTTTAAATTTTTTTCTTGTGAAAACTTTTCTATTGAAGCAAGATCAAATCAGTGTCTGAAGTTATGGGTAGGGGGTCCTTGAGGTTTGCACTATTTGTGTTTGAATTTAGTGGCCCCAATTTTGAGAAGGATTTTAGAAGGTCTTCTTTGATATTCATGCTTAATTTTGAACACTGTCCGAATATATTGGTTCTTGATTGAATTTCAATATTGAAAATGTATCCATGTTTCAATTCAACTTGATTTGAAAAACTTTGTTTTCAATAAATGTTTGCTGTATTTCTATTCACCCATAATGCATGTGAGACTATGCTATTGTTCATTACAGTATAATTACACGGACACAAGAATGACATGTGATATGAAGGATTTTTTATATGTTCAGATGCACAGATGTATTGCTTACATGTCAGTCTGTGTGGGCCAATTCTTCAGTTTACACCACCATCAAATAGTAGAATGAGTACAGACTAGCAAACTTACATTTTTTATGCTTTGTTATGAGAGTTTTCTGCTGAGTACTATATCAGATTCTTTGTATTATTGCTCTGTAGTAATACAGATTGTGTACATGTTGGAGTCACTGATGTTTCAATGTTGCAAAAATGTGATGAAAGGAAATGCATACTAGTAACCATAGTAACTGAAGTATGTGTTGGATGAGGGAAGTTGAATGTATTATGCCCAGGAAACATGTATACATGTATACTGCATTATAGCCAAGCAGGATCTGATATTCATCAGAGAATTCGAAGAATAGCACACAATGTATATGTATATTTATGTCAGCAACACACACTGAACCAGATCGGATTTTGAGATCGTTCTTTGCTGCATGTTTAACTTTTTATCATTTGAAGTTGTGTTTCTTTTGTTGTGGAAAGGAAATTGTTCCCCATTACATGGGCTGTTTGTAAAAATTCATTTTAGAGAGATGTAACTGGATATGATTTGTTTGGAATGAATGTGTCTTTTCCCTGCATATATTTTTCGATAGCCATCTATGCGTAATTAAAGTATTGTTTCGCAGGGTGTTTTGGGTGGAGGATCAGCACCTTGAAAGAAAAAGGGGTCTTCTAGTCATACATGTATGCTGCTCAAGTATTGGAATCCAGAGACTCATCAACCTTGGTTTTTAAAGGGATTTATCTTGACCTACTCAAAAGCTGATATTTGGCCCTAAGTCTGTAGTCAGAAGAAATTCTGAAATTTGTATTTCCCAGTTCATGTTGTTTTTTCAACTGATAACAATACCAGAAAAGCTAGGAAAAGGGTGTAGCACTTAGTTTTACACTATTACATTCAATGAAATGTTAAAATGGCTCCTTTACTGAGAAAATATGAATGTTAACACAAATCCCAATTTTGAAAAAACAACCTTTTTCTGCTTGCTGCCAAGGACACTTTGTTTTGAATCGTAGATAGATCCCTCTTTTAACATTAGTGTTGTTATAAGTATCCTTGACTGTCTTCTGTATTTTTTGAACACCTGTGACCATTAGATATTTTCATTTGCAGAAAACCAATGCAATGTTTTAACACTGCAATTGTTCTCTAAAGACCAGAAGAGTTCTGTTAAGAGTGCAGTTCTGTTGTTACAGAATATCTGCCAACTGTTAGAGATCTATAATGGTACTGTGACAGAGTATGGTGAGTGTATCATGGTACAAGGTTATCAGTACCATGCATGGATTTATGACAGATGTATCATTATCTCTGGCATTTAATAAGTTATCATTTTGTATTAAAAAGAGACAACAAAAATCAAATATTTCAGTTTGGTCAGTATCAGTGTCATGTCAGGTACTTTTGATCATACTAAGTATGATAAGTATCATTTGTTAACCTTATTTCCATTCAGTGGTAAAAATTAGACACTTTTACTGTATGGTGTTAACCTTGTCATTTGTGAAGGACCTCAGGTTTCTATTATCTTTAATCAAACATAACCAAGCTATTTTTAACATGCAAGTTTAAATACTATCAATATCTATTTGTATAAATGATTGCCAGTGACTAGAATAGTATCAACACAAATTACTGTTTTTGCTAATTGTTCTCTGTAAGCAATGTTTGATGAATGTTGTTTATTTATAGATTGTGCACATTTAAGCTACAGGAAGATATGGTACCTCACAAAATCTCATATAATTGCAAGCATAGTGCAGGACTTCCTTTTCTAGTTCAAGAAAACACAATACTTCAGCCATCACAAACTAATTATTAGTTTGTTGGAATACAGTCTATTTGTTTTTCCATGTTTGTTTTTGAATTCCATGATGAAGTTGCTGTATATTGTGTCCTCTTGTGACCAAAAAACTAAATGAAATCACAGTATGTAAAACAATATTGCTTTAGTTCAAAATATAGTTACAGAATCTAGGTGAACAAGAAGATAGTGTTTTGTAACATACTAGCAGGACAATGATTATTGTTTATGGACATTACAAATATTTGTACATGAATATGGCATATTTGTTTTGAAATTTGATTCCATTATTGCAGACAAGTTGGCCAGTCTCCGAATATATTCATTTCACAGAAACATCTCATGTAAAAAAATTCCTTAAACATTTTTCAAAGCTGTTTTGTATTCCTGAAAGGTGAAAGAGGTACATGCATTGAACAGTGTTTGTACTGTGAGTGAAATTGTTAAAAGGTTTGCTGATAACTGTTGAGAGCTATGAATAATTCACCCTGTAATCACCACTCTCCAATGGAGCCAAGTCACATGATGAGCTTTGTTGTATTTATTGAATGTTACTTTTCAAGTAGTTTGGTCACAAATAATATCAGTTTACATCCCAGAATTGCCCGGGTCATATTTGTTGGTTATCAGCTCCACTGAAAGTGGTAAAGGTCTAAAATCTGTGGGCCTTCCTGCCACATGAAGAGAACATGTGGTGATATGACTGACATGTTGTTCAAAACTGTAAAACAAAACTCACTGACTCACACACAATGAATATATGCAGCCTAGATTCAAACAAGGTACCGTATGACATTTCACCCTTAGATCAGTGTCCTCAGTGACTTGGATGGGGATTCCCCTCACCAGCTCCACTCCGTCCTCGCCATCGTCATGGCAGCCAATACTAGCAATCTCATCAACATCCCAGGGGAAGCGTTCCTGAGAGATAATGTTTATTTGATGAAGGAGGCAGCTTGAGGTGGGTCACATGTAAAAGAGAATAGCTGAGGTGACAGGACACTAAGCTGTCTGTTACTTTCTCCATGTACCTTGTCTTTTGTCTGTGGAATGTATCACCTGGGATGGCTGTGGTTCACATTTTATCACTTTACTGTTTTAGACATATCTTAAGACATGGCTGATATATTGGCATTAGGATGTAGTATTTAAGACTCACTCATATGTACAAAATACATAAAAGACAAATATGTTCATTAAGGAATTAGTTAAAGGGGTGATTAATTTTTTGGGATGAAAAAGAATGATGGAAAGTAAATACAAAATGCCAATATTTGAAAGAAAAGTAAGACTGGATTGCTATGGAAATTGTAGATATTTGAGGGGTAGTTTTACTTTATTGAGAATTCCATTTATATGGCAAAACACACATCTTGTGTTTCAGTTGCTCTAAGTTTCTTTAAAGTGCTAATGATAATGGCATTAATAAATTTCCCAAGCCTTGAGGGCACACTTAGAAATCACTTTATTTCATCAATGACCATGTGACAATTTTCATTATGCAAAGCCAGTGGCAAATTTACTTCCCACAAGTAGACTGGACAAATGTGATGTTTATGCTAGTATTAAAATGCTCAGTGAACTGAATTTCGACTCTCCTGTTTCCTCATTCTTAAAAACATATTCTGGCTGGCTCACGTTGATTCCAAAGGGCAGACTTAGACATCTTTTGTCATTGCCCTCAGGAAATACCACGTATTACCACATATCTACCGCAGGTGTTGGATAACATCAACCCAAACAGTTTTAGGTCAGTAGGGAGTGGTTTTGTTTTATAGCTATTGAATAATCTTAAACACAATGGCTTATTCATTACACTGATGAATTATGTTAGGGAGAAGGGGTTAAACAGGGATTGTGGTTTTTCAGGAGTCTTAACTGTGTCCATATAAAGTAACCTGTTTCTCTTTCCTAGCGTCTGTTGTTAGTGAAAGAAGATACTTGATTTGAACCCAATGATCAGACTCTTTATTGCAAATGGTTAGGATGTATCATATGTTATTAATGGATATACAATTCCAATTTGAATTGTGACTACTCAAGGCAAACATTTTGTTACCTCTAATACATTCATTATGTAAGCATATGCATGTTAATGGTGGTTAGTAGACCTAGTTGCCCTAGGTGACTCAGTTTGCTGTGCAGAGTTGCAGCCCTTTGGCATGCCAGTAACCTATGAATATAGGCTTGAATGCTGATTGGCCTTGATTATGTTTAAACGATGGTCAGCACCTTACCCATGCTCTTAAGTTTACCCGAAGTGGTAAAAGCCTGACACCTGACATCGGGCCCGAAACAAACTTAAGTTTTTACTCAAATTTAAAACTGAGTTTGACAATTTGAAACAGCTGAATTTTTAACTCAACTGCATTTTTAAATAAAAAGCTCAAACAACTTAAGTAATCTATCTACCAAACTCAAATTGTCTACTATGTTTGGGTTTGATATTGATTTCATTTCATTCTGGGAAGGGTCGGTGGAGTAGCCTAGTGGATAAAGCGTTGGCTCGTAACGCCAAAGACCCGGGTTTTAATCCCCACATGGGTACAATGTGTGAAGCCCATTTCTGGTGTCCTCCCGCACACGTACTCATTATACTCAAGCTGTCAGATCAGTCAGTTATAACACAAACCGTGTAATTGTATTCATCTTTATTTGTACCGGTACTATTCAGGTTTTTGTTGTTATGATCAACAACCATGATGTTATGTTTCCATTAAATAACATTCTAGTATTCTGTGACAGAAAATTTAAAATCACCTATGTCATAGTGAGGAAAGAGAGGACACAAGGAAAGTCAAATATGCTGAAAACAAGGATATAAATTTCACTAATAAATAAATCATCCGCAAGCTGGTTGTTATGGCAACTGTTGCAAAGAATGTTGTATTATTAATTAAGTTCCATGTCATGGAACACCACAGTAATGTCATTGTTCAGGGTAAGTCACAAGGAAAAAATATAGTTTGAAATTTGTTAGACTGCTAATAATATAATTATTAACAAAATTGTGATGTGTGATTGTATGGTACTTTATGATGTGTATTACCATAGCTCAGTTATTTGTGGGGTCAGTAATACATGATAACTGTTAGAACTGATTTACAAGAGCTGTATCTTATCAAACAAACTCACTTTGGCTGGAAAGGAGGTTTAGTATACTTCTAAAGGGAGGAAGATTATCTTATTTGTGAAACTTATGACTATACAGATTTGATGCTTGAATGAACATGCATGATGGTTGAACACATCACTTGTTATTTTATATTTTGAGTTAAATTTAAGAGGAAACATCCAAAATTATTTATCCTGGAAATATTTAAGACATAAGCTCGCCTAGAGAGTAATGCTATTACAATTGATGATAGTGCATGTTGAATTACTGGTAGATTACTTCAGTATGGATTTTTCGGTTACAGTTGAGCAATCACCAAAATATTAATATAGACAATTAAATGCACTCTCCATACACTTGGACAGAAGTGCTTTCATCGAAGTGCGGAAGATGTTTTGACACAAGAAGATAAGCCCAATGGAAGATTTATTACGTTTAGTTGTGTTTAGGTTAAGGTATATAATATATTTATGTGTGTGTACGGTGTTTCAAACACTGGTCTTTAATTCACAATAGTGTTATGTTATGTGATGTTTCAATACCCAGTTAGTGGTTGTTAACCATGATTATATCAGTGATATATGTACATCATAAATTGAGATAAAGTGATGCAAACTTCATTTGATTTGCAATTTTGTTATCATACTTCTTCAGTATATACGAGGAAGTGTAACAGAATTGTAACACATGTTAATTTCCTTTCAACTGATTTTCTATTGTGTCTAAAACAGAAGCCAAACTTCAAAAGAAAACGCAAACAAGTTATCATTTGTCATAACAAATAAGTTAAGAGTGTCTTGCTCAAGAGAAGAGAAAAATATATGAGCCTTACTGCAATTGCTCAGATATTTTTGTTGTAATTTCTGGTATTTTAAATGGTTGTATTATACACACCAAAGTGTGAAATTGGAGCAAAAACACTGACTTAAGTTCCCTTACAAGGTTTTTCTGTTATCTTTTCTTTCGATTGTTCCATTGAATATGTGACAGCTAGATTTTACTGGACATAAATCAACTCTGTGTGCACAGTTTATGTAAAAATGTTCCAATGGAAAATATTGATTCCAGTGATTGTTCACCATTACATTTTACTCAAAACTGTAGTTAGGTCTGTAAATATATTGGTGTGATGGTTTGAGCTTATGGCTTTATGTGATATGTCAGTGTAACAAGACACAAGATCATAATTCCTCAAGAGGACTCTGAGTTTTGTTTACTGATCTGCTGAATGTTGTAACTCTTAAAGATGTTATCTGGTCATTGTTCATCATTTTGATCTCATTTAAGGTACATTATGTTCTGCAGTCCCCAGCATTGTCAAAAAGGTAAAAAATGAGGATCTGTTGGTCACAAAGTCTGCTAAGTATGGATGGTAATAGGGTGGTTGACCTCTGGGAGCCTGAGCTATTCTCTTTTGTTTCACAAGAGGTTTTAGATCATGTTTATTATCCTTCCACATTCTGCTGAAAGTAGTTAACAGCATGTTTGTCTAGAGCGATTTACTTATTTAGTGAAGCAGTACTAAAAAATTGTCTTCACAAAAGCTTCACATCCAAGTCTTACTTTTATCTGTTTGCCCTCTGTTTCATTTGTTCACATTCATGATGTCAAGATGGACATATGGTAGACTTAATGTATGGGTAGGTACATTTCATAAGTATTCAGGATTTATGAGATCGCTTCACTTGATCACTTAATAATGTGGTGCTGGTGCTGACTGTGAATTGTCATTTCCAGGCATTGAAGAGAGTTACACTTTGTATCAACATTGAACATGGACGCTATAACTATTTCTTCACAAAATTACATGGAGCCAGAGGAAAATGGCTCCTACTTGAATTCAACTAAGCTTTGTGAGATGACTGAGAAGGTATGTGTGAGAAGTTTTGGTGTAATAACAGGCTATGTTATTTGTAAGGTTACAGTCTTATATATGTGAAACTTATCTTTGAATGTATGTTTCATCAAGCACTTTGGCCAACCTGCCATCTTTGAAATATTGAGTGACTCAGTCACTGAACAGTATTACATTAAATGAATGAGTGTTGTTATACAAAGTCAAATGATAGAATAATTTACCTCAAACCTAGTTCCAAAGAATGCAACCTGTTTATGTGGGAGCAGACTTGTTGCTGTTGTCAAAATACCAAAGCCTTAGGACAAAAATATCAGTAGTGTTGCATAAGGTAAAGCTCTCAGATCTCAGTGTTATAGTACAACTAATAACCTTTATATTGCTTTCTGTTTTTATGTTTAAAATGAAAAAATCAATGTTTATATTCAATTACTTTTGGCTGAATGGGTGGCCCAGTTGTGTGGGGAACTTCCCCTCAAATCACAGAGTTACTTCCCTTTGAAGTTCCAGGATATTTATTGTGGCTCTTCGTTTCTCAGCAGCAGAGTCTGGGTAGTTTTCTACTGAGTCAAATCAAGGATTTTGTAAAATGTATGTGCACACACCATACCTAACTCACCATTGTGACGTGTCTGAAAAATCAAGTGTATGGGCACCCCTTAAACTTCAGGATCCATGGTGATCAATGCTCCTCCATCACTGTCTACTTTCCTTTCTCATTTACACAGCTTGCTGCAATGTACCGGAATTACTGTCCAAAGCAGCAATAAACCTAGCTCACTCATTCCTTCAAACTAACCATATCTGTAGGATGTTTGGAATTGTAGATAGCCAAGGAATTTGTATGTTTGTTATGTAAAAAATGTAAATATCATTACATGTATATATCATAACTAACTCTGATTATATAGGTTGTTAAAATAAGCATCAAAAGCTGTCATTTTTTCTTCTTCCTTTTTTTTTTTTTTTTTTTTTAATGTTTCAGTGTTTGAAGTTTATCAGAATATCAACTAAGTTTAAGAACATTCACGATAGAAACTGCCCAAGAATAGTTAACTGTAAACAAATTGAAAACCGTTCTGAATTGTGTTATTCACAAGATCAATAGCCATCATTCCAGCGTTTTCTACCACAAGTAGGTCTGGGATGGCAGTATTGTGTTTATGATTGTTCTGTCTCCAGGGATTCAGTTTTGTCTGCCCAGTACAGGTATGTTGGACAGACCAGGGATACACTGTTACGTAGGTTTCTGCTGATAAATGTAGAATGGCCATTTTGAACAAATGCAGAATGATGGCACAAAAGGTGAATGAAAGATTGGGATTTCAGCAGAGGAGACTTGTTTGTGGATGCTTACATGCTAAGTAGAAAGAAAATGGAGAAAATTGATTTTTGAATTGCTTAAAGATCAATGAGTAATGTAAGGTCTTTTATGGTTCTTGAAGGTTGCTTTGGTTGAACTTGGAAGGGTCATGGAGTGTTGCAGCACCTCAGGGAATTGGTGAAAATCATTTAGGAATGAGGTTTTTATGTGCTGCATAGATCTTTCTGGAATTGAAAACAGTGAGAGGTTCAAAGGGAAAGAATAAATGTTGTAGCAACTGGTTTTCATTTTTCATCAAATATTTACATGTTAAAATTGATTCTGTGTTGAAAGAAACTATTGATATGTGTACAATATCAAATTGTTATTGTTGGACTGTCAAGCCCAGGCTAAATATTTCAAAAGTTTAAAATTATTCATGCTGTTTTTGTTCTGTTTTATTAAATGTACATTTTGGTGGGTCTTTTAAAAGTTTTTTATTTTTTTATTGAGAATATTAACCTCATATTGGGGAAACATAGACAAAAATGTTCTTAACTGAATTAAATGAGCTGTTTTGATAGGTCGCTCAAATCTTATACCAGGATGGGTGACTGTACTGTACCTGGAACATAATCACTAACATTCATACATCCTGCAGTTGTGTTGACAATCTTGATTGAAATCAGAATCTGCTGTAGCTTGTATTCACTGCTGATGTTATCATTGTTTCTCCCATTGCTAAATACATGTCAGAAACTTTCCTTATATTTGTTCAGCCTAGGACAGTGATCTTGATCTTATAATGTCCTAGTGGGCCAAATGACCTAAGTTCAAGATATTTTTTCAGCCACTTTATTTTTGTTTTAAAATCAGAGGCATAGATAATTAATTTTTTTCATATTTATGTGTACATTTTGTTTCCCTGCCTTTTGAGACTCAACCAATGATTTGACCTTGTGTGTTTAAGTAATGTTTTAGTGTGTGTTTGTGTTTGAATTTGCTTTTACTTTCCATAATCTGGCATATTTTGTGCTATTCACTCCCATGGTTTAATTGTACTTCATTTGTTATGCTAACAGGAAATGTAGATAGTAGTCAGTAGCTACGGTATCCATGATCTATCACAGAATGTACAACACTGTAGGACATGTACATACACAATTATGGAAACTTGGCATCGTAAACAAGAAAACATGTGCTATATGTTGTGCCCTCAAGAACGTATCACTTAAACTCCATCAATGGTTTTGGGTAATTTTTGTCAGTTTGTGTGATGTGTGTGTTTTATTTGTCATTTATCACTGAAATGACCACTATAAGGATGTGGGATAAGGATAAGCTATCAAGGTGTCTATTCCAATATCTGATTCCTTTGTGTTTATGTCAGCACCTTTCACCATCTCATGGTTATAATATGAGTGATAAGAAATGTTTTTGTGCTTGTTTTCAAATAATGTATAATTCTTCATTTAATGCTGGCATTTAAAACAGGACTTGTTTGGGGGATATATATGGCTTATAATAATTTATTAATTGCAAATGTTGGCATCTGCATGTGAGTTTATTTTTCTCTTTTCTTGGCTGAATGAACAAGTTTTGTGGTAGGAATAAATGATGAGTTCAGGAAGGCATCTTTTCATTCCACCGATTCAACAAGATCTATCAGTTGGTATTTACAACAAAAATACATAACTTATGCTGAAAATTATAATGGAACCAACACAAAGTTTTGTAAATATGAAAGGTTAATGTACACTTGTGTTCAGTCTATGCTTCTCATCAACAAACTAGAAATACATCACTTCATGTAATGATAGTGTCTAATGTTCCTACAATCTAACAATCGGCATTTGCAAGAGTTTTCATGCTTCTTTCTTTATACATTCCCTTATTTATTGCCATCAGTATATTTATGTTGTAGCATTTTACTAACATAGATTGACATTTTCAAAACCGAATTTATTTTCACGTACCTGAGTAATTAACTATATATATTTTTCAGTGCACTTTTCATACAGAATGGATGTTCCCATTTCAGCCACTCTCAGATTCCTTTCCATGAATATTTATGTTACAGTGTCTTTTAACTTTGCCACTCACTGAAATAATGTTTGCTATCATGAAATAGGTAGGTTTTCATAGTTGTATTCCCTGTGATAAACTTACACATAACTGAGCAGTTTAAGGTTTGACATCAGATAAACAAATTTTACTTCCTAATATTTGGGATGAGGGATCTGCACGTTTTCAATCAAACAAAATTATCTTTTCAGGATTTTGTAGTTCAATAACAGATTGTATTGGTATACTCAGAAAGGAACAGCCACACTATAGTGTGTAAAATAAGCAGGAATACAAGATTGATTTTCCCATTTTAAATATCTGTCACAGTTTGTTGATCATGGAGATTCACTTTAACTTTTCCTGGGTATTTATGCCATTGAAATATGTATTTGTTTTTCTGAAATTCCCATTTGGCTTGTAAATATTTTCACAATTATTTGTTTGGAGGTCTGGTTATGTTTTTCAAGGACTGTGATTAGATATTTTTTATCTGATGTAAAACATTTGAACTTCTCCCTAACAATGGCATACAGCTTGGTTAGAGAGAGTAAATAGATGCTATTTCTTCTCTGAGTTCTAGTCATACTAGTAAGACTAGAGCTAGTAATGGATTAGTTGAAACACACCTTTAACCATTATGCTTTAACAATGGCTTGAATCATGTGGTGAGAATCTGCCATGTTCCTCTAGAGCCTGCTATGACGCTTCTAGATTGTTGAATTTGATTTTATGGAATACAATGTTATAGTAATGTATTGTGGCATTTCCAGTGTTAGTTATTTATTACTAAGACCCAAATGTTAGGCTTGTTGTTGCTTGAATGTCCTGGAATCTTTGTATGTTCATGGCAGCTGATGCTCAGTGATGAAGCTGATGAATATCACTTAAAATGGACAAATTGCTTCAGAGTGCAGACTTGTGTTTAAGCAAAGTACAGTGGTCTTGTTAAAGAATGATTCTCTAAAGAGGCTCAAGGTCCCAAGGGTTGGTGCCAATTCTGGCAAGGGTTGACATGCTGTAAGATATAATCAAAATTATACCCCAAGTGGTGAGTATCAACTTGTTCAAAATCTGTTACACCCGACAATACTCAATGTCAGACCAGTACGATATTGTAGGTTGGACATAGCAAGGACATGCAAGGCAAGTGTTTTATCCCATACCTTTGACTTTATACAATGTCAATAAAATAACAATTTATGATCAAAATGAATAACAGGAAGTATCTAGGGGCAGATCTCCGAAATCCTGGATCCGCCCCTGGTATCACACTTCATAAGGATGGAAGACTCAACACCGAAGTGTCAGCTTGATTGTAGTAAAGAAGTTGTGTGCCAACTTGTCCTTGTGCATCAGTTCAACTTATAATGCCAGAAATAATACAGTTCAGTTTGAAGACTTACTTAGTGTTTAAGGGACTTGAATCAAACCTGCAATGACAGCCATTTCCCCTAGCCCTGCTTTTAAGCAGTAAGCAGTCTTACATTTAACACCATCCCTCCACTACTCACTACAAATGGGTTGATTATTAAAGCATCTGCTATCACCTTATATTTTGCTCTGCTGGTTTGCTGTAGTTTTATCAATATGGGCATTTCATGTGTAGTCATAACCAACCCCAGGCTTGTTCCAGTGTAATCATACAATTCGGTGACTGTTGCATTTCCAATGATTCCACACATGATCACAGTCTGTGACTATTGTAATTCCTATGATATTGATTGCAATATCCCGAGAGGGGTTTAGAAATAAGGTCTGGCGTGTAAATGTTCAAATAACCTTCAGCTCACCATTTCTACAGATTGGTTCATTTCTAGCATTGCAAGAGCAGTAATAGATCTGGGATGAGGATCATATGAAGCTGGGATGCAGGGATTCGATCATGAAACATCAACTGCTAGCATACATTGTCCAACATTCTGGGTATAATTTCTCAAAGGAGTTATGAGATGGAAGTTTTATTTTTATCACCATCCTCAATGCATGTATGAGCCTAGTATATTTATACATGCCAAGCATCTTTTTTTTATATTTACATTTCTTTGATTGTGGTGTACAAGATGTTTGTATATTATGGACCATTGTATTTAGCTGTGATTGTTGACAATACACCTGCATGTTTTGTACAATTTGTTTTTGACATGTCAGTGACACACTGACATAAACCTAAACATGTCTGTGGTGCGTTATGGGGATTTTTTACATAGTGGCAAATCAGCTTTTACAACTCTGTGCTATAGTTCTGTTCTGTACTCCGTTCTGGGTTCTGCCCCACAGACTATCATACATGAGGTGCATATACAGTGACTGCTGCTTGTGTTAAGGAGGCCAAGGTGCTAGGTGCTGTGGGGTTACAGGTGGCCCAGTTGAATGTTCTGCAGTTCACTCTGTAGAGTTGTGACCCATAAGCATGTCAGGATCCTGTGATTGAGGGTGCGAATCCAATATTTGCGCTAATTATGATTCTTGGCTTTTCGACATTTGGTAATACGTTACTGATTTTGCTTTGAGGAACTGGTTCTTGTCCTGTTTCCTGGAAAGGTAATCGGCAGCAGCTTGCTGTGATAAGGCCACACTGTTGTACATGGTTTACAGTTTACTAACACAGGTTTGACCAAAATTAGAATGTAAAAATATGTGTAATTTTTGTGGGGATCATAAAGTTTGCTTGTCATTTATTTCTTTGATTGAAGATTTTTAGAAGTATTAACAGTAACCAGACAATATATACATACATACATAATTTAGAGGCATTTGATTAAATATCTTTCTTAAAATTAACAATATTAAAAAAGTTGTGGTTTTGAAATTTTTGTACTTGCATCTTTCTTTTATTCAAGATGGGGCAGTTGGGTAAATGAAACTAAGTTGATTCTGTAATTTATAGTTTTTCCATTGTGGGTCTTTCTTGTGTTGGTCAAATCTATAAACCACCAAATTAGAAAAGTGCTTACCATCACAGACGTTGATGAAGTTTAACTACAACCTTATGTCAGCCATGGGGCG